CCAATTCATACTTGTCAATAATTACATATCTGACAAGGGACTTATCTCTAAAATTTGTAGAGAACTCCAACACCTCAACAGAAAAATTAGCAATCCAATTGGAGAATGGGCAGAAGACGTGAGTGGGCACTTCACCAGGCAGGATATTCAGGTGGCCAGCAAATGCATGAAGAAATGTTCACAATCATTAGCCATCAGAGAGATTCAAATCAAAACAGCAGTAAGATGCCATCTCACCCCAGCATTAATGGCAAAGTTCACTGAGACAGACAGAGAATGGCAAGTGCTGGCGAGGATGTAGAGAGATTAGGACTCCCATGCACTGTTAGTAGTACTGTAAAATGATGCGGCCACTGTGGAAAGCAGTGTAGTGATTCCTTAAAGGGCTGGAATTGGAAATGTCATTTGACCCAGCAATCTTATTACCAGGTATATGTCCTGGAGAGGTGAGAGCTGGGACAAGAACAGATGTATACACACCCATGTTCATCACAGCACTATTTGCACTGGCAAAAAGATGGAAACAGCCTACGTGCCCATCAACAGAAGAATGGATAACCAAACTATAGTACATAAACACAATGGAATACTATGCAATGTTAAAGAATAGTGTGGGATCTCCAAAACACCTCATAATATGGATGAAGTTGGAGGACATTATGCTGAGTGAATGAGTCAATCACAGAAGAGCAAGTAGTAATAGTGTAGGTTCATTATTGTAGAAAGTCAGGGAGGGATTTACATATGGAAGGAAACTTCCTTTGTTGGTTGCCGGGGGTGGGGAGGGAGAGGAAGGAACACTGCGGAAAAAAAGGTAGGCATTGACCCTTGTCACTTTGGTTTTGTGTGTTTCACTGTACATAAATTATATTTCAATAAATCGTATTTTTAAAAAAATGCTAGATCCAGCATTGTGAAATTTCAGAAGCTCAAGGTTGAATAAAAGATCCTAAAAGCATTCATAGTATTGGGGGACACCAGACCCAATTAGCACAACAAAATACATAAAAGTCTTGCTCCTCATCCTACATTGGTGAATAGCAACTGGGGTCTTAAAAGCTTTCAAGTAGCCATCTAAGATGCAGCTAACAATCTCCTATCATCAGAAGTAAAGAAGAGTGCAAAAAACCAAGGGCATTTGGAAGCAATCAGCCCTAGGACACGATGGCCCTCGAGACCAGAAGAACTAGATGGTGCCCGACTACCAATGCCAACCACTCAGGAAAGGAGAAAATCTGGAGATCCTGGATAGAGTGGGAGGAAAAACATGGAACAAAATCCAAAAATTCAATAACGACCAGAATTACTGGTTGGATGGAGTCTGGTGAGACCCCAATACTATGGTCCTGGGATACATTCTGGGCCTGGAATAAAGCTCACTCCCAGGGCCTGTCTCTCAGCCCAATAGTAAACAAGATGTACATGCAGACCACTCAACCCAGGGTGACACCCACATATCCTATGGAAATGCATCCCTTGGAGCAATGGACCATGGGGCACCAGAAGAGCAGCATTCACATGGAGGAAATGCAGGACACACAGGAGTGCATCACTATAAGGGGTATGGGTGGGGGTGGGGGGAGTGTTGCTGGGCAGGGAGGGGAGATTGGGCATGGTGAATGTGGAAAAAAAAGGCATATCTAGATCCAGCATTGTGAAATTTCAGAAGCTCAAGATTGAATAAAAGATCCTCGAAGCATTCACAGGTAAAGAACCAAAAGGAATATCAGACTAGTTGCTGGAAGAAATAAAACTTCAAGTTTTAAAGGAAAATTATTTTCAACCAAAAATTCGTAAAATAAAAAAACCATCTACCTACTATGAGGGGAAACTAAATACAATTTCAGGTTTAAAAAAAAAAAAAAATTCAGAAAATGTATCTTTCATGCAGCCTCTCTTGAGAATAGACTTAAGGTTATTCTTTTTTTAATCATGTATTTTATTTTTTGTTATTATTGCTGAGAATGTGAAGTTCTGTTGTGGATTTTTCCCCTTTTGATCTAGACTCTTCTATACAACCTTTGATCAAAATGTTCAGTAATGGTAATGAGGCACCACCCAGTTCTGATCTTATGACAAAAGAAGCTGTTATTCATAGAAGTAATTAGCCACATGTTCCATTTCCTCCTCACATTCCTAGTTTCCTTCTTCCTGTTTCTCCAGGTGAATAGAAACCAACTGCTGTACCACAAAACCAAATTTTATGGGATGTTTGGTTATACATTATCAGCCCCATCATCAGATCTGTTGTTGTTGTTGTCATTGTAAATATATCTAACATGCAACATTTGTCAATTCAACTTTTAACAGTTAGACAACATATTGACAACAATTCATTAATCGGCTATGCAACTCTTACGCTTGATGAAAATTTTCCTTCACTGCAAACTGAAATACATTGCTCCATAGCATGGTGCCTAAGGCACTTGACTGCTAACCAGAAGGCTGGTGGTTCAAACCCATCAGCCAAACAGCCAAACAAGTTTCAAACTCCAGGTCTTTGCACCTTTCATTATAGTAATTGGTTTTGTCTGCTCGAACTTCTCTTTGAAATCTGTTCATCTCTTTTATCTTCTCATTTCTTCCATTGGCTTTACCTTCTCTCCGCTCAAGGGCAAGTTTCAGAG